CAGTCTTGCTCCTTGCTGAAGTGTGGCAGTCTTGCTCCTTGCTGAAGTGTGGCAGTCTTGCTGAAGTGTGGCTCAGCCCCCCGGAGTCTCCCCCACTAGACCCGGCCCTATTCGGCCCTACTGTGCCACACTCACCATTGTCCCTCCACTTTTCTCAGCGGCTCAAAGACTGGCAAGGCCATTAGGAGACCGAGCTGTTTTGACTGATGATGAGTTTTCATCTCTTGTGTATCAGCGCGCTGTAAAATTAGAGTCTATTTTTATATATGTAAAATCCTGGAGGCAAATAGAAATACTTGTAGGCCTACTGTGTGTTTGATGATGACGAGACAGGGAGGAGTCAATAGTGCTGTGAATTGTGAATGTTGAAAGACTTTTCTATCAGAACAAACCATTCACACACATGTTTTCTTGGGTCTTATTACTTCAATAGAAGTTTGGTGATTGAGTTAGCATACACTGGCTTTTTCCAGATCTGCACAGTTCATTTTTCGCTCATGACTTGAATCTGCCAATGTCTTTGTAAAATCATGAAACACTTGTGCTGAGAAAACCTGGGATACAGTATTGTTTGTTGTTGTTGTTGTTAGCGATACAGACAGTATTGCTTGTTGTTGTTGTTGTTAGCAATCCAGACAGTATTGCTTCAGGGAAACCTTCGTATTGACTGACGTATTTATTGTTATTGTCTGTAACACGGTGACCCACACCGACCTCTGACCCCCACACTGACCTCCTTCCCCCACACCGACCTCGGACCCCCACACCGACCCCCCCAAACGACACACCAAGCTACATATATATATAGGCCTATTATATTCCCACTGACCTAGATTCTCTATTTACCCTGCGGTATACTAAACCAACACCCCACTATTCCCCACCTGCTCGGATCTTCCAATAGAAACAGGTCCCCATAACATTGCACACTGCACTCCATAAATTGGCACTTGTTTTTGTTTGTTTTAGTAGAGGTTTTACGGCGCTCGCAACTGCATAAGGTCATATGAGCACCAGAAAATTAGAGGTGTTACAAGAGAGTAACAAACATAAAAAAGAAGGAGGGGAGATAAGGACGATAGATGTTTGATAGGAAAGAAGGAGCAAACCACACCAGAGCACCCGCCAACCACTCACTGGCACATGTTTTGATTAACTGGTACCAGTGTAGTTATAAAGGCCTTGAACGTTTAATAATAGCGGTTGGGCGTTTTGCCGTCCAACGCAGGAGGCATGAGTTCGATTCCCCGCCCGGGTAGGGAGAAATTATATCGAGTATTCCAGTCTGTCTGCTGGATGGCTGGTGCCTCTATAAATAAATCATTGATGGTATA